GTACTTATGTCATGGGCGGTCGCACATAAAAGGAGCTTTGAAGTTTTCCCACCGCACACGAACACGTGAAATTTGACATAATTTCGCAATCAGAGCAGCTGGGGTGCCAAAATTTTTCGAGGGTAGCCCAGGACCATACTTGGGCAAGCGCACTTTGAAATAGCTCAAGTAGTAAGTAGCATGTGCTCACGGCAACCATACCTTGGCAAGAAAATTGATGGCTTTTTTCTTTGAGAGCTATCTAGAAGCAATCTAATGGCAGGTTTGGTTCTCTAGCATATGTGCCAGTACCATTCTGCCATCGAAACGAATGAACGAATCGTACAAAGAAGCGTTGTTCCACAGGCGAAGACGAACTCTCGACCCACTGCACTACGTCAACGCTATTTGCCTATTTGCCATTGCGCCATGACTGCCGGCTTATTTACATAATTTAATTTTGAAAATTAAATCAGGCTATAACGAACTGTACCGTAGGAGTAGGTGTTGTCATATAATACTTCGGTCCGTGTGCAAATGTATCTGTTGCACCAAGATCCATTTCACTGAAAGAACTGAAAGCTTTCATGAGAAAAATTTGTGAATAATGAAATAGGCTTGCCGCTTCGAAATGCTGAGGATGACCGCTGCTGGTACCAGAAATAAGAAACAAAACTGCATGGCCGCTTGTCCGATAAGAATTGAATCAAGTGAAAGTTCACGCAACGGGGTTTTGTAGCTGAACTTTTGTGAAAATACTCGCAGTGAAGATTTTTGAAGAAATCCAGGTCGATCATTATAAAAAATATTTGCTAGTGCCCGAAATTCGCATAGAAACACTCACAGAAATATCAAAGTCTATTCACCACGACCTAACTGGGGACTGGATTTGAGGACTGGATTTTTTTAATAAGGCATAACTGAGCACCTGATCCCGGTCAGCACTGGCAAAAGCTGAAAGCCACAAATCTAATTAACTGGAAAACCGGCTTACAAGGTTTGAACAAGTGGAGTGGTTGGCGAAGCTGGAGTTGTATGAAATTTCATGGCGTGATAAGGCTGATCAATATCAGCAACAATTCGGAACTGATCCGCTGGTTCTTCAATTATGGAAAATTCTTGGGTACCAGGTTCCACCACAGGGTCTGAAATCTCTGAAAGATCGTGAAATTTTGACGACTATTTATAAAAAAACATGTCCTGCATAGCAAAATAACATTTTCTAGCTCCTTATTTTTTGGTTTTACGTCAGCCCTAAAACTCGTGGAGAGAGCAGATAATGAAACTCGGTATCAAACTCGGATAATATGATATACATATGTACTTGTACCAAGAACACCGAAACAGCGCGAGCTATCAGTGTGGGATTTCCTTGATAATGATTTTAATATGATGCTTCTATTGTCACGAATGGAGGCCTTTTACGAAACTGTTCTGAATCGGGAGGGAATCGATCCACTCCTCTTCGCGTCTGGGTCCAACGTGTTACTACTATGTTCCACCAATAATTTGGAGCCCTCATCTATGCTGTATGCTCATTCGTTTACAAATATTTCTTTTCCCGGGTTTTTTGCGAGGCTTCCGCGATACTCGTGCCACAAAAATGCCGCGATCAGTCCACATGAAGGAAATCTTCGCGATTGTTGGCTTTGCCTGCTCCATTTGGCCGCTTCTTTTGGCCGATGAACCATGTCACGAACAGAGACTTTTCTCGAAAATTGTTCTGGACCGGTGGTGCAGTGGTAACACGCTGTATCCGAATGTAAAGAGGAGCGGCTCGATTCTCCCCCAGTCTAGAACAATTTTCGAGAAGCTCAATGTTCGCGACGCCTACAAAAAAGCCGAGCTCATATATGCCAGGCTTTTCGGTCCCGGACTGTTTACCTCGTATTAATTATATATAAAAGCACAATATCAATTAAATATGTATAATTGATATTAAATTTCAGTATTACCGTAATTTATCCTCCCGTCAGCTTTCTTGTAAGCAACCCTCGAAATAGGGGACTTTTGATTACCTTAGTTATAGCAGTTGCGACAATTACTGCGAACTAATGACATTCATAACGAAAGACAATGTGACAAACCCGAGTCAGACTTAGAGTTATCGATAATTGAAGCAGTAGGCGGTGGTCTAGTGTCCGAATCTGCTGGATTGATTATTGCTTCCTGTAAATCCAGGTGTTTTTAATGTGTGGATTTGTTTAAACGCATCGACTAAAGTCAAAATATTAATATAAACCGTAGTACAACAAACGGAGACGCTCAGAAGTAGTCTGGGAGGTAGTACGTTTCGAATAATAACCTCCGACTTGCAGTGCTAACAATGACCTACTATTATGTGAATATTTGAGAAACAAGCTGGAAAGTAGACTGACACGTCTGCGTGACCGTGCCAGACCGAAGCTACTAGGAGCACATTGACAATCAGAGAGGATACTCCGTGTTAGTAGTACTACTGAAATGTTTCCACACTGTCACGGAAAGTTTGCAAAAAGCTGCTGCAGAGAAATGTATAATATCTAGGACAAGCAGTCAAAAAAGAAAAGATTATGGTATCTTAAGGCAGATACACAGCAAATGTGCAGCCAAGCTATGCATAAGGAATGATGGTGCGATGGTCTAGTATGTCGAGTCAGGTTGTGAAGACGGACGGTTCGATTCCCTCCCGGCCCATATAATTTGAAAAAGAGGGTTTCTTGATGACCAGCACGACGAGCCCTTTGATCTGGAATTGGAGTAATGCAAAAAATCCAAAATTTAAAAAATGCAATGCCTCAATTTTCTTTTCCACATCAGTTATGCGTTGTCCCGGTCTTCGTACAACATCCTCTGCCGATTTCCATTTTCGTTGTTGCTTCTTTTCAAATTCTCGTTCCTTCGACTCAGTTCTGATTCTTTTCGGCGAATCTCCTTTTTCCGGAGTTTTCTGTTCATCAGCACGCTCTTCTTCGGCCTGGGCCTGTTTTTCTTTTGAATTCCTTGGGGAAATTTTTGCTCGTCTGCTAGAATTCTTGCGACGTTTTTTGGGCAATTTCTGAGCCAGCCTTCCAGGATAAAAACGGATTTGACCTTTGTTGGAGAAATTTTTGTCTTCAGGATCAATTACACCATCAATCCATGATGTGCGCGGCGCAGTCTTATTTCGCCGACTGGCTGAAAAAGCTGAACCACCGCTCAGGAAATGAAACCGTTTCTGTGTTGGTTTCGGTTCATCAGCTTCCCAGGATTCACCGCTCCATTTTAAAAATGCCTGATTTCTGGGATGAACTCGCGAATTACCAGATAATATTTCTGTTTTCGAGGCTTCTCTCAAATGACTGAATGATGTGTCTTGTTTTCTAATGGTTTTCCGCCTGTTTGAGGTAGTCGATCGATTTCGATGCCCGATAAATCGAGTACCATTGTTTTTCCGGTACTGCATCATGTTTGGCGATAAACCACTTCTTGATCTTTTATGCTCAGTAGGTCGTAATGCCGTTCGATTTGAATGCCTGCGAAAAGCTGGAAACTTTTTCCGGTATTTTCCTGTTGGTCTCCGCCTCCCGCTTCGATGCCTGAGAGTGGAACTCGAATTTAAATTTAAATTCGAATAAATCAGATTATTGGAGGATGGATTTCTCTTCCTCGTTCTTTTTGAGGAATTGAAATTTGTGGAGATTTTTCGGACTGGATGATGATAAGCTTTCCGGATTTTGTTACGGCCATGCGTCCTACCCCTTAATGACCCGTTCACTTTTTCGGGATTATACTTTCTTAGCTGTCTGCTATTCTCGTCGAATTTTTGTCTCTTAATTTTTCTACTCCTGACCGGTAAATGTCTTTTGGTGTTTCGAGGCCTATGTTTGTTGGGTTTTCTGGAATGCTCGGGGATGTTTCGCCTAAACCGTCTTTTATGGTCATTTTCAACATCTGTTGAGAAATCTGGGGGCAGTACTTGGCTTACGGGCAGTTTCCTTGTCTGATAATTAAGAATAGATTTCTGTTCGACAGGAGCATATCTTCGGTGATCCGGAACAAACTTCTCAGATTTCCGAGATCGCCTTTTTTCAGCCGTAGTGAACTTTATGCAAACTGGAATGGAAAGGCACAATTTGTGAAACCGAAGACTCGCATTTCCCTCTCCACTATTTTCACTTGGTGATTCTGGACTTCGAACAGAAGACGGTGCAGGTTGAACATCGGCGTAAAGCACATGTGAAAATACGGGTAGGGGTGGTGGTTCGGAACGTCGAAATCTCGTGTAGCGGACGGAATCCTGATCAGAGAGTTGCTCCGCGATGTGGCCAGTAGCGGGATTTCGCGGTACATCGGTATGCGGTTTTCTGGGGAAGCGAACTGATTCACCCACTCTTCGATTTGTAATCTGTGCAGTGTGGTCGTCGCTTTTCTGGTCCGAATCAGCAGCATTCTCCCGTTCATTTTGATCTAATTTTCTTGAGTTTTCTTCGGGAGCCGGCGCTTCATTTTCCGGATTCTGTTCATCACTGATTTCCACAATGGCGCATTTGAAATCGAAGTAAAAATATTCTGAAAAAGAGACTTTTAGAAAGAGGTGCAGATGTAGGCAGATTGCTCTGGGCCAGCAAAAGAAGAATGCCGGATAAGTTTCAAGAATAATGGCATCAGTCACTACTATTTAAGTATTTTTGCTAACTTCACTTGTTTTGCTTGAAACATGAACCCCAGCTATGGAGCTGACAATATTTGACCAATGCTAAGTTATCTGGTTGTCAGCCTGCTGGTGATCCTAATGCCCATTTTATCTCAAACTTGCGCAACGGGGCGCATTTTATAATTTAGACTGACAGAGTTAGTAGAAACAGCGGAACTTTTCTGTTTTTACGGGATGCCAAAATTGTCTAAGAAAAAATCACGTCTTAGCGGAGTTGAAAGTAAAATGTAGCTAGAACGATGAAAAGTGGAATACAATTCAGGGAAACAGGGGCCTAGAAATTGGTTAGAAAAAGCAAAACTCAGAGAACAAAATTTCGGGCGAAAGTACGATTGAGGTAGATTTAATCAAACACGAGTAACAGTGGTGAGGCATAATTCCGATCTAGGCAGGAGTTTAGTAAAAGTACGTCACTTTACTTTTGGAACAGTGCGTAAAACGTGTGGCATGCTTTTATTTTTATTGGAAGCTGAATAAGCAAAATCCCTGCATCATGGGTAAAAAATCGAGGGCATGGGAAAGGGACGGAAGAACTGAGAGGAGAATAGTCCACAAAATAAGCTATAAATGGTAATTATTTAACGCCAAACGAGCATGCAATTAATTTGAAGAAAAACATAAGAGATAGCTAAGACAATGATCTTAACAATAATAATTTCAACAGTAATTTTAACGACAAAATTTTGAAATGGCTAAAGCAATAATTTTTAATTTTTTTCTTTACTGCATGTAAATACTAAAAAAGTGCAAAAAAAGAAATTTTTGTACGACAAACCTCGAATCATCCAAAGAACAATGACCGATGTATGAATGAGGATAAAGATTCCTAAAATAGCCCGGACTGGACAGCAGCCGTAGTAAGCCGCCCTTTTGTGTCTAAAATAAATTAACTTTTATGATTAAATTGCATTTACGCTGCAGCATTTAGAAGGAAGAAAATTTTTTCTGCACTTTAGTTGAAAATGCAGGAAAGCCCTGCTTTTCACAGATGTTAGAGCATCCGCACAACAGCTTTATTATCTTTGGCCATAAGATATGCATTTAGATTATGATAATTCCTGATAATTAGTCTAAATAGTTTGAGAATGATAACTAATATAATCATATACGCAATATGTATGTGGTACATGTATATTATATGCTTTTTATACAGCACATGCACATTACTTGTATAGTATTTATTTTTCATCCAAAGTCTCCTTGAGCGTGGCTACAGTCCTTAGAAGGTGTTAGGCCAGTACGAGTGGTAAAGCAGTTGGTTTGGCTCCACTTTGAAGTCGGCTTGCCTGAGATCGCAACCCAAAGTGGGTGGTAAACCCTGCAAAATATAATTTATACATAATGAGATTAATATTACTTGCATAATGTGTATTTTCCTCAAAGTCGTTATAATATATGAAGAATGTCATGAACAATGCACGTATAAGGCCGAAAATAATTAAATTTCGTTTTTTGTCGCACATTTGGTAAGACACCTTTCGCCTCGTTGAGGTCAAAGAGCTGCTGTGCTTAAGCCAAGATATGATTCTCAACCCAGGCTGGAACGCACCAGGCGGGCCGGTGCGATTATGCGTTTTTGCACTTCTCGTGCC